AGACTTCGTTAACAAGCCCATCTTTGGCAGCTTTACTGGAAACATATCCAGGAAAACTATCGAAGGAGTGAAGAAGGCCACTAAAGGCCTAAACCTGAACAAAGGAGCTGCCCAAGGCTCAAACAAAAAGGCCACTGAAGGCCTGAAACTGAATAAAGGAGCTGTTGCAGGCTCGATCAAAAGGGTTACTGAAGACCCACACAGAAACAAAGGAGTTGCTGAAAGCTCCAACAGAAGAACTACTACAGGTTCTTACTTGGCTGCCGTGAAAGGTTCGACAGAGAACTTGGAGGCCAAAATGCAGAAAATTAATCTCGTTGCCAAGAGCAACATGGAGGTCAACATGGTCGAAGTCTTTGATGCCAAGGCTTCAGAAGAGGCTATTCGACAGGAGGAAGTGAACAAAACATCATTTCCTAAAGAAAATGAAGATCTGACAGAGTTTTTACATCGATGCCAGAAGAAAAAGTCCGAAGTAATGTTGTGTCCCAGATGCAGTTCTATCTTCGACAAGAAAGCTGCAGAATACATACAAGGTATGAGAGAAGTAAAGGCAAAGTGGGTCAGCAATGCTCAACCAAAAATGGGTCCAGAAGAAAGATACGATCCCAGGAGGGGACATCAAAGAGGACCCATGAACCAGGAAAGGAGGCCACCAACTTATAGGCCTCCAACTAATGTACCTGTGGGTGCTTGGCTTAATACTATGGGCAGAAAAAGGCCCAATGAAGAAAAATGGAAAACGTTCGACGTGCCAAGAGGCTCCTCTTTGGACTACAGAAAAGAGTACCATGCCTCTACATCAAATAAAATGGCTCACATATCGAGAAATTACAAGGGGAAGAACCTCATGTCTCGTTCATAATGGCGGAGATTCCAAAGACGGCGAAAAGCCGAGAAGGAGGCTGCAGCAGAGCCTCACCCAGAGGCTAGCACCAATGTACAAAGAAAGCAAAGAAAACCTGTAGAGAGGAAACCTCTGGCATGGCCAGGAGAATGTGGGTCAAATGACGAAGGTGACTCCGACTCTGACGATACTTTAGACATCATGGTGAACGTCATATCGGTGTTGCCTAGGGAATATAACCGTCTGGTCGAAGTTGAGGAAACCGACTTGATGGTCGAACAAGAGATGGCCAGACATAGGCCAATGTGTTATTATGTAATGAATAATGACTGCATGGAAGAACAGAACGCTTTCTTCAAGCCACCAACTGAGGCGATGAAAAATCACCTCAAGCCCCTATTCATCAGAGCGAAGATAGGGGAAGTGACTATAAACAAAATCCTGGTTGATTGTGGAGCGACCATAAACATAATTCTGCAATCTATGCTGGAAAAACTAGGAAAAGGAGATGCTAACATCAAGCCCCACAACATGGTCCTCTCCAATTATGAAGGAGGCATTGGAACCACAATGGGAGTCATACAACTACATCTCAAGGTGGGATCAATCCTTCGACCCACCATGTTTATGGTGATCTCAGCAAAGCCAAACTATAATCTGCTTTTGGGTCGAGAGTGGATACATAGCATTGGTGCAGTGCCATCTTCAATGCATCAAAGGGTTACGGTTTGGCGTTCCGATGGCATCGTGGAAAACATCGAGGCAGATCAAAGCTATTACCTAGGCAAAGTTAACAGCGTCGCGAAGAATAGTTTCGACAGGAATTTGGCTCATATAGGTCCATGTAACCCTTCTGAATTCGATCTAACTCCAACACCCAACGCCTTCTGTTCTCTGTACCTCCACTCTGACTATGGGTTTCAGTGGGATAGAGAGGATTTTTCCAACATCGACTACGAAGGGGTTGATGATATACGGCCAACAGGCCGGGGAAGTGAGTTTGGTGATGATGACTGAGTCACAAGCTCTTCAAAAGATTTCGGCATATGTAGCCGAAAATAGAATGATAGCGGCCTTAGAGGCTGAAGTCAAGTACATGGATCGTGAAGCCAATGAGCAGGTATCTCCCCAAGAAGGCCTTGGGAAAGACTTTGACCCAGAACCTCCAGACTTGGAACAGAAAGAAGTGCGAAATAAGAGGTTAGATGCCATTTATGATGATGAACCTCTGGGTTTCGAAAAGGATCCGTTGGCAGATGGTGTTAGAATGCTAGCACATGACCCCTTAGAAGAAGTAAATCTAGGCGAAGGTCCGATAAAAAAGCCAACATACATCAGTGCAAAGTTAGATCCAGAACTCTGGGTCGAAATGATCTAATTGTTAAAAGAGTTCAAGGATTGCTTTGCGTGGGATTATGACGAAATGTCTGGTCTCAACAAAAGCATGGTGGAACTTCAATTACCAACAAAACCTGGAAAGAAGCCTGTCAAGCAAACTCCAAGGCGCTTTGCACCGGAGATTCTGTCAAAAATCAAAACGGAAGTCGAAAGACTTCTAAAATGCAGGTTCATCCGAACGACCATGTATGTCGAATGGATTGCAAATATTGTACCTGTTATAAATAAAAATGATACTTTAAGGGTGTGCATTGACTTCAGAGATCTGAATGCTGCAACACCCAAAGATGAATATCCAATGCCTGTGGCAGAAATGCTTGTCGATTCTGCCGCTGGTTTTGAGTACATGAGTATGCTTGACGGATACTCTGGATATAATCAGATTTTTATTGCTGAAGAAGTTGTGTCGAAAACAACTTTTCGATGCCTTGGGGCCTTAGGCACTTACGAATGGGTAGTGATGCCTTTTGGCCTAAAAAACGCAGGGGCAACATATCAAAGAGCAATGGATTCTATCTTCCATGATTTCATAGAGACTTTTATGCAAATTTACATTGATGATATTGTTGTCAAATCTGTTTCAGGGCAGGCTCACATGGACCATCTTCAATAATCTTTTGAGAGGATGAGGCGCTATGGTCTGAAAATGAAGCCTCTGAAGTGCACTTTTGGTGTCAAAGCGGGGGATTTCTTAGGCTTTGTGGTCCATAAAAAGGGAATCGAGATAAACCAGAACAAGACCAAAGCTATCTTGGAAGCCAAAGCGCCAACCAATAAGAAGGAATTGCAGTCTCTACTTGGGAAGATAAATTTCCTAAGGAGATTTATATCCAACCTCAGTGGGAAAATGCAAGCCTTCTCACCACTACTTCGACTCAGCAAATAAGGATTTGAATGGGGGCAAGAACAGCAAGAGGCCTTCGACAAAATCAAAGAGTACCTCATCGAGCCACCGATTCTGGTACCTCCTTGTCGAGATAGGAGTATGAGATTGTACATAGTCGCGTCTGTCAAAACCTTAGGGAGCATGTTAGCTCAAGAGGATGAGAATGGTGTCGAAAGACCCATTTACTACCTTAGTAGAGTTTTAAATGATGCGGAAACTAGATATAACGAAGTTGAAAAACTATGTTTATGTCTTTACTTTTCATGTACAAAACTCAAGCAATATATTAAACCAATTAATGTTTATGTTTCGTCTCATTTTGATGTTTTCAAATATATGTTGTCGAAACCCATTTTGTACAGCAGAATTGGCAAATGGGCACTTGCATTAACTGAGTATTCGTTAAGCCTTTCATGGACAACAAGGGGGACAGGTGTCGAATAGAAAGATCAAAGAATGACTATTTCTTTTGGCGTCGAAATAGACATTCTTGGAGGGTAATTTGTTGGCTCCTAAATTCGACACCTACTATATATTGGCCTTATAGGCCAAAAATAGAACAAATAAAGCCAAACTGGAAAATATTTCGACGGATGAAAAAAACTTAGAGAAAATATCTGAGTTACACATTGGTCTTCGACCAAGCATCACCATCAAGATTTCGACTAAGAAGGTCCTATGACCTTCGACTAGAAGAACATACCTTCGTGTCAATACCAAAGACGAAAGATATTTGAATTTAAATTGTTGGAGGGAAACGGTTTCGCCAACATTTAAAGGAAAGCGACGTGGCTAGAAGATAGAGGTCGAGGCACGTGCAGAGGATACTTGTCTTCATCTTAGAGCCAAGCCACCCCTCGACGGTTACATAGTTTTAGTATAAAATAGGAAGTCTGTGTAGTTTTTTCCGGGTGTTCAACCTATTGTGCTAGTTACTCAAATATTGTCCAAGTACCCGCTGTGTGTGAAAGGATAAACTGAGAAATGTACGTTGGAAACACCACTTTTCATTAATAAAGTCTTTTTTACACTGCTTTGATCTTATTTTGCAAAGTTACTTTTCCTGCATCTTTACCTGCATTTCTATTAACTTTCTTACTTTCTAAAACCACAAGCATCTTATCTTTAGTCGAACGTGCGTTCTTCCTAGACATCTATTTTCATATCAAACCAACATAAAAATTAGCATATGTTCTGGGATCAATCTGATCGATCCCGCGAGTAACCAAAAGGACTTTCCTTTTTGGAGGACCAGCAGTTGTTTACCAAAAACCACGGTAAACAAGAACATGGCTAACAGTCCTCCGAATATGGTGGAGTCACCTGCCCCAAAAAAGAACGGGTCTTCACTCCCGAGAATTATGGAGCAAATGAACCAGGATAAGGACCATGGATTGGTCCCACCTATCCACGTAAGATTCTGGCAGTCTCCATTTCACCTTCAACCTCCGTTCAGTTTCAATTGTGGACCATCAATGATCCATTCTGATCAAGTACGATCAATATATATATAGAATTTTACTTTGAATTCCTTCATTTACATTTGATCCACAATGAGAATATGCCAAGAACACTTGATATTGATTTTATTTTATTCAACGAGAAAAGAGAATATAGAAAGCTTTGTCACCAAAAAAGAAAAGAAAAGCATGTAGAAAGCAAATTCATCCTCATGAAACAAAAAAGAAAAGAATCAATACATCGTTCAAATAGGGAAAGGCCAATGATTGTGGTCAGTATCAACTCACTATCAATCATTATTCTCACCTGCCCAGAAAAATCACCCATTTCCTACGTGGACCTCTCACTCAATCACATTAGTAATATATTATAATGTCTCACTCTTCTCATAATCACACACAACACAATATGGAGCTTCTATTCCCACTCCTTCTACCATGCTTTCTCTTCTCAACTTTCATCGGATCATGTGCTTTTGTGTCACTTGAAGATAATTCCAAATTTCCACGTAACTTCCTCTTTGGAACTGCATCTTCTTCTTATCAGGTTAGTTTAGACACTTTAATCTTCTAACTTACTTATGTTCATGACTAAATATTGCTTACTTCTATAATTTGCAGTTTGAAGGAGCATTCTTGAGTGATGGGAAAGGATTAAGTAACTGGGACGTGTTCACTCATAAAACAGGTTCAGATTATATTTTATATTTCTTATTCATATTCATATTCGAGTTTTTAAAAACCCGTCCGCAATTATAAAAAGGCCAAATAATATCAGTACGTCTCAATATAGATATTATTATTTACTGTTTTTATGTTTAAAAAAAATTTAGATCATTTGTACCTCGACTAACACAATTAACTATATCACCTAAAATCGTGAAAGTTTTTACGTGACTGGAAGGCCGTGACGGTTGTTTTAAACATTGTTCATATATGCTTCCCATGAAACTCATATATATGTAGTTTGATTTCAGGAACCATATTGGATGGAACTAATGGAGATGTTGCTGTTGATCATTACCATCGTTATCAGGTAGTTCATTTCAAGAATCATATTTGATGAAAAATCAAGAATTAGTTCTTTTTCTTTCTTTTTTATTGATTGTCACTTATTTTTTTCCGTTAAAATAACCGAAAGCAATTTTTGATACATTAAAATATAGAAATAAATAAATAATATTCTTATTATTTATTTAAATTTATTTTGAAAAAAAATATATATGCTAATAATTTAAAATAATTTTACATATCAACCAATCACCATCATATATTTTACTGAATCACAATGATATTTTAAGGTTAATTTTGTGTCATGATTGAATAAGAATTCTATAAATTATTTTACACTAATAATATATTATTTTTAATCTTGTTTACTGTTGATATGATATAAATTAAAAAATATTAAATTATAAATTATTCAAGTAATATTAGTTATTAAAAACACAACTGAAAAATAATTGATATTATATGAAAATATAATATTTTTTAGATAATTTCTTTTTAAAAATAATTATAAGTCAAATATTTTGGAATGATGGGAATATCATTTAGAGTATGTAGGGCCGACTTAAAATAAAGTTTGAGAGAGACTTATGTAATTTAATTGGAGGGATTTAATTCTTGTTATTAAATAGTATTTCCTGTCGATCAATTTTAATTGTTAAAGTACAAATATATTTAATTTTTATTACAGTTACCTTTAATATTATGTTTATGAATGATTATACTATAGTTGTAAAATAATTTATATAACAATTGAACTCTGAAAATACTTCAAATTTATTTATTTTTGCTAATATAAGAGAAATTTTTATTTTAAGTAATTAATTTAAATCTAACTGCTATTATAAGAGACTTTTGGGGGGTATAATATAAGACTTTTTAAAGTATAAATATATGTGAATTTTTTAGTACTCTCTTAGGGTTTTTAGGGATTTTTGACAATATTATCGTAATACTCTTTAATTCGGATATACATATCTGAACACATTCAATATTTTATTTTTAAGGGATTTTCGAATATACGTATTCGAAATAATTCAATATTTCATTTTTAAGGTACTTTTGAATATGAATATCTAAATTAATAGGATGTTAAGCATCTATGTGTATCAATTAAAATCAAAATGTATTGATTGTATTATTTTATTATATACCATTTATATGAATATAAATATATCCTAAAGTGATCTCATTAAACACGTGTTATAATATAGCAAATATTTTTTCAATAAAAGAGAAATTAAGACGAGTACAAATTTCTCTTCATTAAGAAAGAATGAATATTTCAACTTCACAAAAAAAAAAAACAGTATTGACAACATTCATTCTTAATTAAGAAAAGTTTATATCGTCTTAATTTCTCTTTTATTGAAAATGTATTTTCTATTTTATAATACATGTTTAATGAGACTACAATATTTATATTTTTATTTATATAAATTATATATAATAAATTAATATAATTAATATAATTGATACATCTTGATTTTAATTGATACACATTAATTCTAATTGATTATTAATATTTTTAAAAGATATTTTAAGATTTTCAGAAATTTATTTCTACTAAGAAATTCCATAAATATATATGCTTTTTTGGGGTATAAATATAAGATGCTCTTTCTTTCAAAAGGTCTTAGGATAGCAACGTGTAGGCCCAGAAAAATCATTCGAAGAAAATGGACGGTCTTTTTTATTTTGACTAAAAATTTGACAAATTATTATGGCATGATAAACTTTTGTTTCCACTCATGAAAGCAGCTATTTATTATTTTTGCTATTGAAATTGAAAAACAGGAAGATGTGGACCTAATGAAAGATATTGGAGTCAACAGCTATCGTTTGTCATTATCATGGGCCAGAATTCTACCAAGCAAGTTTCATTTTAATAAAATAATTACAACTTTACAAATCTCATTAATTTATTTGTCTAACTTTATCTTTTAAATTTTTTTTCCAGAAGGTAGATTTGGCAATGTCAACAAGGCTGGCATTGCTTACTATAACCGCCTAATCAACGCACTTGTAAATAGAGGTCATTTTATTTGCGTCCTGATATTATATAGCAACTGCAAAGTCGTTAGATCTCAATCATATATTTAAATATATTTAGATTTAACGACTATACAGTAAATTTTTTTTTCATATTGATTTCAGGAATAGAACCTTTTGTCACAATAACACATTATGACATTCCTCAAGAACTTGAGAACAGATATAAAAGTTGGTTAAGTTCTGAAATTCAGTAAGTACTACATATACACTAACAATATAGTTCTCTCTGTCTCAAATTATAAGAGAAATTTACTTTTTAGATTTATTGAATAATTAATGTATTTGGTAAATACAATGTAACATTTATGATTTTCAGAGAGGATTTCAAGTATTATGCAGATATATGCTTCAAGTACTTTGGAGATAGAGTGAAATATTGGGTGACATTTAATGAACCCAATGTTGCAGTTATTTGTGGCTATAGAACAGGTGTGTATCCACCGTCTCGTTGTTCGGGCTCATTTGGAAATTGTAGCTATGGAGATTCAGAGAGAGAGCCTTTCATAGCTGCATCTAACATCATTTTATCACATATGGCTGCTGTTGATGTGTACAGAACCAAGTATCAGGTGAAGATTATATTTCATAATTTTATGAATTATTTTTGAATTTTTTGTAATTATCAATTACGGAAAGTGTTCCCTTGAAAATCAGAAAAATCAGGGAGGAAAAATTGGAATTGCTATGAATGCTGTATGGTTTGAACCATTTAGCAACTCTTCAGAAGACAAGTTAGGTGCTGAGAGAGCTCAATCCTTTTACATGAACTGGTAAATGATTCTTTGTGTGTTAATTTGATCAGTTATTCTTGATAGCCTTGAAAAAAAATTTAAGGCTTAAATGCACTTTTGGTCCTCTATTTTCACGTTCTTTAAGTTTTAGTTTCTCCATTTAAAAAATCAATTTTTTAATCCTAAATTTTACCTCACTCAAAATTTCATTGATCCCCTCTAATTTTGCATATGTGGCGCTCTTATTAATGATATAACACTGCTACAGTAACTCTACGTAAAATGAACACGCATTATAGAGAGTTACTGTAGCAGCGTCATATCATTAATAAGGGTGTCACGTATGCAAAATTATAGGGGACCAACAAAATCTCGAGTGAGATAAAGTTTAAGAGTCAAATAGTTGGCTTTTAAAATAGGATGAGCAAAAGTGTTTTTAAACCAAATTTAAATTAAGTTTGTGAAAAGCAGGTTTTTGGATCCAATTATACTAGGAAAGTATCCAGCAGAAATGCATCAAATATTAGGAGCTGAACTCCTAGCATTTTCCAAATATGATTCAGAAAAACTCAAGAATGGATTAGATTTCATTGGAATAAATCATTACACAAGTTATTATGCAAAAGATTGTATCTTCTCTTCATGTGAAGAAGGAAAAGGGTCTTCAAAGACCGAGGGTTTTGCTCTAACATCTGCACAAATGAATGGCCTCACCATTGGAGAACCGGTACTAAATTTCATAGCATTTGATCAATCTTTTAAAAGCCAGAAGCGAGATAGAACTGACGAGTTTACTATTAGGTTATGATTCAATTGATTTAATCGGTTGAACCAGATGACAAATAAATAGATATTAAAAAAAGATAGATAAAAAATGTAAAAAGTAATAACCGATTGAAATAACAACGGTTCAACCAGCTCAATCCGGTACAATCTGGTTCAACTAAACTAAAGTACAACCCAGATCAAACCCCTAATGAAATGACAAATTTTCAATTTAACCAATTGAACCGACTCGTTCGGTACGAATTCTAAACATTGTTTTTAACTATTGTGCTTCACAAAATAACAAGTTCAACTTCTTGTTTTAAATAATGGTTGTAGAGTGCACTTGCATGGTTGTATGTTCATCCACAAGGAATGGAAAAGATAGTAACTTACATAAAGGACAGGTACAACAACATAGCAATGTTCATTACAGAAAATGGTGAGTACTATAATTTAGTTTACTCCTACAATGATTCAATTCAGTTATTGAATATGTCCTTAAATATGAGGTTTAACTTGTCCTACATAGGATTTGGGACAAGTGAGAATTCCTACCCTACCACTAAAGATGCATTGAACGATGTTAAAAGAGTAGAGTACTTGAACGGTTACTTGGATTCTCTAGCAGCAGCAATAAGGTATTTGCATAGTACTATTAATATTGGAAAATAATATATGTATACTCATAGCTTCCAATCTTAAATTTTTTAGTAAAGACGCGACATCATGGTGATTCATGTTTTGGTTTGTGTGAAACAAAAATTAAAAATTTTGTTAATTTTGGGTGCAGAAAAGGAGCGGATGTGAGAGGGTACTTTGTGTGGTCTCTTTTAGACAACTTTGAGTGGAAACATGGATACAGTATAAGATTTGGACTGCATCATGTGGACTTTGCTTCTCTCAATAGAACACCAAGAATGTCGGCATTTTGGTATAAAAATGTAATTGAAGAACACAAGAGTCAGGCAGGAAATAGGAATGGGCATACTCAAGAAAGATGAAGAGTTCAAAGATAGTTTTATTTTGAAAGAAGAAAGTAGTAGTAAATGTCCTGCACACCACTTTTTAGATTATTAGCCCTTTATATCTTAACAATGAGATACTCTCTTTTTATATATAACAATTTGAGTTCTAATCAAAACATTAGGGCCATTTGTTAGATAAAAAATGTCAAGTTCTCATTGATATACAATGTACCAACTAGTACTTATACAAGTAAATATAGAGTTGTGATCATTACTTGTGAAACAAGTAATGTTGTAACTAACTCATAACTAACTAACTAACATTGTTTAACAAGAATATACAATAATCCCTTCCTTACTTTAACTTCTATCAAAGAAATCAAGTAACACTAGTTAATGTCTACATTCCTAAGCCCTCCCTTAACTTGACAAATGACTTGAGCTTCAATGGCTTAGTGAAGATTTCAGTCAACTGATCGTGAGTGTTGCAATGCTGTAACTCAATGACTTCATCCTTTGTCAGACCTTAAGAAATGAAATATGACATCTATATTATCACAGAATAACAATTCTGTTAGCTAATTGTTAGCAGTTAGTTAGAAATTAGAATTATTGTTAGAGTTAGTTACGTGGGTTAGTTACATAGTTAGGAGTTAGTGGTTGCTATTTAATGTAATTAGCATATTGTAAAAGTCACGGTTTTGAATACAATACAAATCAATTCAGTTAACTCTTTGTTTTCTCCTCTTTCAATATGGTATCAGAGCTCTCTTAGAGAGAGCTCTGCTGCAAACTCTGATAATCTCCACGGTGGTTCACCGGAGTTCCGATGGCTGCGAACGTTCCGCCGGTGGCTCCGCCGTATCTGTATTCCTTGCAAGATGTGCAAGTCACTTCTTGTCCGTTGTATGTGCATCCGAACGAGAATCCGGCGACGATTCTTGTTTCTCCGCCACTTTCTGAGAAGAATTACCACAGCTGGTCAAGATCGATGCGAATGAGTTTGTTAACAAAGAACAAACTCGGATTCGTTGATGGAACGCTTCGTGATCCTGGAGAAGATCATGAGATCTATCCGTTTTGGCAACGCTGCAACACAATGGTTCTTGGATGGATGATTCGTTCAATGAATCCGGAGATTGCGCAATCGATCCTGTGGCGAGAAAAAGCAATCGACGTTTGGAAGGAGTTGAAGGAGAGGTTCTCACAGGCAGATCTCTTCCGCATTTCTGAATTACAAGAAGAAATTTACAGTCTCAAGCAAGGAGACATGACGGTAACCAAGTACTTTACACCTATGAAGATTTTGATTGATGAATTAGAGGTTTTGAAACCATTGCCATCTTGTGTCTGTGATGCACTTGTCAAAATCAAGGCAGAAAGAAATTCGGATCATGTCATTCGATTTCTGCGTGGTTTAGGGGAACAATTCTCCGGTGTGAGGTCGCAAATCATGCTCATGGAGCCTTTGCCAAGCATCAATCGCGTGTTTCAACTCGCAGCACAGCAAGAGAGGCAATTCAGTGTTGAGAATGTGCCTAAGGTTCTTATGGCTAATGCTGCTACTGCTCAAGGTGTTCCTGATTCACAAAAGAATAACAGAGGTGATAGCAATTCATCTAATCGCAGCTATGGCAATGGAACCAATTCTAATAAAGGTTCTCAAGGTTCCAATGGCTACAGAAATCAATCCAGGAAGGAATGCTCACATTGTGGCAGAATTGGGCATACTGTGGATGTGTGTTACAAAAAGCATGGGTATCCACAGAGTTACAAGTCCAGGAATTCTCAAGGCGCTTCTCGACATGCTAACATGTCCAACGCCACAGAGGCAGAGGAAGATGATTCCAATTCTGTACATGAGGATAGCTCTCGGTTCAGCTTGACTGAAGATCAGTACAATACTCTACTTGCTTTGTTGCCTTCTCAGGATAAGGATACTGCAAGGACAGTAAAGGTCAATTTTGCTCCAAGTTCAAGGACTTCAACCATTGCACAAACCAATTCTGTGGCTATGCAAACTCGCAATGGTATAATTCGATTAATTCAATGGATTATTGACACAGGTGCAACTGACCATATTTGTGGTAGCTTAGAACTCTTTGTTACATACAAGAGGATTAAGCCAGTGAAGGTTAAATTGCCCAATGGCAGTTTCTTGGTAGCTCATTTTTCTGGCACCATTTCATTTACTAAGTCCTTTTACTTGGTAGATGTATTATATTTGCCTCAATTTAGCTTCAACCTTATCTCTGTTACAAAGCTTGTTGAAACTTTGAATTGTAAGCTCACTATTGTTCCTAAATTGTGCTTAATACAGGATATGAATGCCTTGAGGATGATTGGTGCAGCTAAAGAGGTTGATGGTTTGTATTACCTGGTTACACCCACAATGAATGCATCCTGTTTGAAGCCAGTTAGACCTGTACCTGCAGTTTCAGCTACTTGTTCTTCCTTGAATTCCCCTTCTAGTTTGTGGCATCATAGGCTTGGCCACCCTTCTTTTGATTGTATTTCCATCTTAGGTAATACTTTTCCCTTTATCAATTGTACAAGAAACCATGTATGTGAGGTTTGCCATTTGGCCAAACAAAGGAAATTGTCCTTTTCTCACAGTAATAGTACATCTAATAAAGCCTTTGATTTGATTCACATTGATATTTGGGGTCCCTCTGCTGTTGCTTCTATGCATGGTCATAGATTTTTTCTTACTATTGTTGATGATTACACCAGATTTACATGGTTGTTTTTGATGAAACAAAAGTCTGAAGTTCAGCATCTTATTCCACAGTTTTGTGCTATGATTAAAACTCAATTTGATGTTTCCATTAGAGTCATTAGATCTGATAATGGTCCTGAGTTTTTTCTTACCCAATTTTATGCTTCTAATGGCATCATTCATCAACGAGTGTGTGTAGAAACCCCTCAACAAAATTCTGTTGTTGAGAGGAAGCATCAACACCTTTTAAATGTCACTCGTTCCTTGTTATTCCAGTCTCATTTGCCTAAAGTTTTTTGGTCACATGCTGTATCCCATGCCACATTTCTTATCAATAGACTTCCATCTTCTGTTTTGGGCAATAAAACTCCTTTTGAGAAGCTTTATTCTAAACCTCCTGACTTTGGTTTTCTTAAAGTCTTTGGGTGTCTTGGTTTTGCTTCTACCTTGCTTCGGGCTCGCACAAAATTGGATCCTAGAGCTCGAAAATGTGTGTTTCTTGGTTACAAACATGGCACTAAAGGTTTTTTGTTATTTGATTTGAAATCAAGAGAAGTCTTACTTTCAAGAAATGTCATATTCTATGAGCAGCAATTTCCTTTTCAGGCCTTATCCCATAACCTTGATCATACACCACCTGATGTCACAATTCCTTTGCCTACTTCTCATGATATTGAAGCCATTGATTACACTTTACCTGATTCTGCTCCTTTGTTTCTCCCACCTGTTGATCCTGTGCCTACAAATCCTCTTCCAAGGCAGTCTCTTCGTACAAGGAGATTGCCATCATACTTGCAGGATTTTCAAGTCACAATGCCTCCTAGCCTGGCAGCCCAATCTTCCTCAAAGGATCATTCATCAGGTATAAGGCATCCTATCTCCTCTGTTGTGTCTTATGACAAATTGTCTCCTACACATTTTGCCTTTGTTGCTAATGTATCCAATTTAGTGGAACCAAAGACTTATTCTCAGGCTTGCAAGGATCCTCAGTGGCAAGAGGCAATGATCAAGGAGTTGGATGCTCTCAACAGGAATCACACATGGCAGATTGTGCCTCTTCCTTCATCCAAAAAGCCCATAGGTTGCAAGTGGGTTTTTCGCATCAAACACAAACAAGATGGTTCTGTTGAGCGTTATAAAGCTCGCTTGGTGGCTAAGGGATATACCCAAGTTGAAGGCCTGGATTATTTGGAGACCTTCTCTCCAGTTGCCAAGATGAATACCCTTAGGCTTTTATTGGCCATTGCTGCTTCCCAAGGATGGTTTCTTCATCAACTTGATGTTGATAACGCCTTCCTCCATGGCTCCCTTGATGAGGACATTTATATGAAGCTTCCTCCTGGGGTTCAATCTGATGTTCCTAATCCAGTTTGCAAGCTTCAGAAGTCTCTTTATGGCCTCAAACAGGCCAGTCGACAATGGTATCAAACATTGGTAGCTGCTCTGCAATCTATTGGATTTCATCAATGTTCTCATGATCATACTTTGCTTCTTAAGCAACAGGGTGATTCTATTACTTGCTTACTTTTATATGTTGATGATGTTGTTCTGGCTGGGAACTCTATGGAAGAAATCCAAGCTGTCAAGAGTTTTCTCCATGCCAAATTCAGTATCAAGGATCTTGGTGATTTAAAGTTTTTCCTTGGCTTAGAAGTGGCAAGATCTTCTCTTGGAATCACTCTTTCTCAACGCAAATATGCATTGGAGCTTTTGACTGATGCTGGCCTTCTTGCTTGTAAGAGTGTGAAAACTCCTATGGATTCTAATGCTCATCTCTCATTAACAGAAGGCAAGCCTCTTCCTGATGTTAGCAGTTATAGACGATTGGTTGGCAGGTTATTATACCTCACCACTACGCGTCCTGACATAGGCTTTGCAGTTCAGCAATTAAGCCAATTTTTAGCAGCCCCGACAGAGGTTCACATGACTGCAGCTACACGTGTTCTTCGTTACATCAAGGCTGCTCCAGGACAGGGATTGTTCTATTCTGCCAGGTCTTCTTTGAAGTTGCAAGCTTATAGTGATTCCGACTGGGCTAGCTGCCCAGACACGAGGCGGTCTGTAACTGGCTACTCTATCTTCTTAGGTTCTTCCTTGATCTCCTGGAAAACTAAGAAGCAATCTACTGTATCGCGTTCTTCTTCAGAAGCCGAATACAGAGCTCTTGCAGCAACAGCTTGTGAGCTTCAATGGTACCAACATTTGTTCCAGTTTTTACATCTTGAGCTACCTCTTCCGATTCCTTTATTCTGTGACAATCAATCTGCCATCTATATTGCACAGAATCATACATATCATGAGCGCACCAAGCATATCG